GCCAGATCATGCGTGATGAGACCACCTATAGCTTCTTGGGTAGAAACGGGAGCATCCTCTACTGCAAGCTCCCTAACCAGGACATCACTTCACTCAGCGATGTGCAGAACATCTGTTTCGACCCCGATCCCCACCATTTGTGCCCTGACCCGAGATCGCCTATTCCGCAGACTCCTATGGAAGACGTGGAGTTCGTTGGTTCAACTGGAGACGGTGCCACCTCTGATGACCTGGGTCCACTTGCAGATGACGCAGATGATGCTGCCTACCGTCGGTGGATGGTTGACTCACAGCGCAAGAACAACGGCCTCCTGAAGCGTGCCCTGAAACTACTGACCGGCGGTTGTATGGGGGCACCTCCAACATCTGGGCCTCGACACGAAGCAACTGCAACAGCCACCCATCGGCCCAGAAAGGTACCCGCAGGAACAACGGTTGGAGGGGATGAGACCCCATATGCTACACCTCGTCATCGGAACAGGCGCTACCCCGGCCAATCCGACAGCGATGAAACTGACTAGGCAGTCTCCTAGCTCTATCACCATTATCTTATCCATCTAGACTCTTTTTATTTTTATTTTTTTTTATTTTGGCCTTTCTTCGATTTATTTTCTCCCCAGGGATGGTGAGAAGTAAGTCTTGGGGAGGCAAGTATCTGCTACTAATCGTTTGCTTTGTTTCTTATTTTTGAGTCAGTCCGCTTTGAGTCATTTTGATTTTTTTTTTAATCGAGTCAGTCAAAACTTTGTGGGAATCAGGACCTTGTTTTATGATGTTTGATTAACCACCCTCGTGTTTTAATTCATCTTATTCAGTGACCTTAGCAGAAGGCAACAGACACACATGCAGATCCAGAACACCCTGACTTTACATCAACCTGTTCTCCAGAAGCTTTTAGCTTGTCGAGGTTACTCTGAAAGAACTTAACTCCATCTAACTTGAACTTAATCTTGACTATAATTCTTCTTGTTGTGGGCATTAGATTAGGGTTTAACGTGATTAACACTCAGGACTTCCTATTCTTTCTATCCATCTTGCTGATCCTGAGTGGCTAGCTCATCTTTAGCTAGTACCCACCTTGAAACCTTTAAGCCTTTATTTCTCCCTCATGCATTTGCTTTTCAGTATCTTATGTGCAGATATGTGCAAAAGGGCCGGAGAGGAAAGGATCAACACAGTCTCTTACTCGTTAATGCTACAGAGTGTTCTGTGAGAGAACAGGCGGAATCAGGGAGCAACCGCTCCTCCGCCATTGATCTACCATAAGAGAAGAGAAGGCAAAAAGAAACAAGAATGAGAATAAAGTCAAGAAGTCCAGTAGCACATCGAAACCATAATATGTTACCTCCTTCTTCGTCACCATCACCAGTGTTATCTTATTCAGAAAAAAAAAAAAAAATAATAATAATAATAATAATAATATATAATAAAACTTATTTTTATCCGAATAAGGTGATGGAGGAGGAGAAGATTTCAAAGATAGATGGAAGCCACTGGTAAATTGAAGAAAAGAGCGTGTGCAAAAAGTCAAAGAGATAAAGACCATGCAGATGAACGACTGTTCCACAAGAAGACCAAACGTTTGATCGGATCAACTGTGCAAGAAGAGGAACGGGCAAAAACGAGTAGGGGCTGTGGACATCAATGGATCTATCCTCTCTTGCAATTTTGTGTGATATCCTGCATGCTCTTCAAAAGTTGGTAACCCCTAAACACTGATTAGCCTCACTTAAACACTTAAAAGGCCTGTTTTACACCTAGACCGTTTTTCCTTAATTGATGCCTACAATGAGAAGCTCACGCTACTCTGAAATGAATGTAAGGAGTTTTGTCTGGAAGGTGTAACTTTTGCAGGTCTAAAATACAGAGTATGGAATCGCTTGAACAGCTTGTCAGTGGGGTTCATGGAGAAGAGTGTGTTGTCTTAGCTAAGCTGCTTATATGGTTCAGAGATTCGTGGTTAATGTATGGTTGCTGAGAATGAGCGAGTTCCCACTCTTTTAAACTTCTCTCCCTGTTTTGGATACTTGGCTTGTTCGAGGACAAACAAGGGTCTAAGTCTGGGGGGGTTGATATATTGTGTTTTTGACATAGAATAAGTACTCTCTACTAATGGTTTTAATGGTTTTATCGAGTCTTTCTAGTTGTTTTAAGTCAATACAGGTTGAAGAGTTCCAGAGATGAGGAGAACGATCGTGTGGAAAGAAAAGAGAAGAAAGGAATCTGTTTTGAAGATTTTCTTGATATGAACAGTCTGGCAAGATGTTCCCGTGTGATCGGAACAGTTTGACAAGCTGTTCCCCGACGATCTAGGAAATAAAGATTCTATCTCGGGATTTGCCCTAGTTTTCCCTATTTTTCACTTCTGCCGCCTGTGGCTTACTATATATTCCTGTTTTATTTTTCTAGGCTTTTTACCTTAGTTTTTACGCAAGCAAGACTTGAGAGCTTTGATTTGAGCAATTACTACTTGTAAGGGAGACGGCTTCATCTATCTCCTTGAGAAGATCATCCTGAACCCTCTTATTTCATATTTATTTTACATGCAGTATTATTCAGAAATCATGCTCTGTTCTTGTGTTATGTCTGAGTAATCACCAAGTTAGTTTGGGATTCTAGGGATTGGTTTCGTTGGCTGAGCTTAGATAAGTTAACCTAAGATTGTCTACATTCATATTCTTACCTCAAAGCTTGCATCGAATTGATCACTTGTTGCATGAACCAAGATTAATTGATTTAGCTAACCGTTGATTGATAATCTGATACGAATTGAATGAGCTTAACATCCCTAGTCAGCGAGAGTAGATACTAGGGTGTTCTGTGAACTTATCGGACTTGATCTCTAAAGCTTGCTGTCTTGTCTTGATCCAAACGACAGTTTAGGTATCAAGGCAGATCTGCAAAGGCAATCAACACCACGACAGTGGGTTGATTCAAACAGAGTGATCCGAGTTTAGACTCGTGAATATTGAACTTGAATAGTAGCGCGGCTTGCGAACTCCCTTCCCGTTAGGAAACCCTAGACTAGCGCCTTTAACCTCTTTGAAACAACCTTCGTTTGTTACTTGTTTTTTTAAGTTATTTCTTTTACTTTAAAACCCCCTTTTGTTTTAGCTATATTTTGATCCTATAAAGATAAAGTGTAGACTGGTCCTCTGGAATTGAATCTAAACATATTACAACTACACTGTTAACTTGACAGTAGACAAAGATCCAATTTTAGTATATCAAGTTTTGGCGCCGTTGCCAGGGATCGAACCCGGGTCACCCGCGTGACAGGCGGGAATACTTACCACTATACTACAACGACAAAGACCGAACAACGTCAACATGGGCGACTACGGTACACCAGAACAAGTAGCAGCCTCCATGCAACAGATGCGTCAAGAGATGCAACAAATGCAGGAAGCAATGGCTGCTCAACAACTAGCTGCTCAACAGGCAGGACGTGTGGAACAACCTGTTCCGATCGGAGAACGAAACCTACCGCGTAACATTCCTGCAACGCGTTCTGCTATCGCTCCACCAGCATGCCAAAGAGCGGACTTCGAAATCAAACCTGGCATGATCAATCTGGTCCAGAGAAAGATGTTCCATGGGTTACCAGCTGAAATACCAATGGAACACATTGAAGCTTTTGAAGAGATTTGCGGTTTCACTCGTGCAAACGGTGGTTGCTCCGATCTGCAGATTGGTAGGTGAACACTCTCACGAGCTTGTTCGGGATGGTCTCCGGTGGTCCTACTTATGGAGACGCGATCGGTGCGTATTGATGAAGATCCTCTGAAGACGACGCGTGCAGCTACAATCAACTGAAGATAGTCTCTGAGTCGTCTATGGCTCGATTCTTTCGGGAGTTTGGCTCGCTCTCTCTAGCTCCTCCAGTCACGGTGTCTACACTTCACTCCTTGTTGTAATACCACAGCGTGGCAACCCGACAGGAGTGGGTCCCCCTTCGTATCAGTGTATTTTAAGCTTGGATTCACCTGCGGGTGTTGTGGATAACAAGAGTTTGTTTCTATCGGTTCTCGACGACAACATATGGAAGGTTTCCACATCTCAGGAAGTTGTCAGCCGGAGGCGTGGAGCTTTGGAAACCATATGGTAGAGTTTCAATATCCCAGCGCCGGTGTTGGCTCTTCAGCTAATCGGTGGTTGTGCTCTACATTCTTGTTTATCGTGGACCCTGTTAAGTGTTGACACAGCAGCCGCCAAAGTCCGATTTTTGGATCCGTAGCTCTCCTTTTGGGCCTCAGGTTCAGAGACGGCGAGTTCCTTTAGAGGAGGTTTCATTCGAGATGATGCACCTTGGTGTTGTTGCTGCTTGAGCCATGTTCTCCAATCAAAATTTTTGGTGCCCAAGAGCTAGGAGTTAAGTGATAGTCTCGTTTGGATGTCGGTTCTCAGATTGAAATCCCATCTCTTGCAACTAGGGGTAATGAGCTTAGGATCTCTTTGCAAGATTCAAAGTCTGAGCGCCTATGAATTGATTGTCCTATTTTGAGCAAACACACCAATTTGGTGTTGTAGCGGCTGGTTCTGCGTTCCAATCAGATCATTTGATATCAACTGCTTTGGTCATTATAATGTGCTCTTTGATGGGATCTCTTGGAGTAATAGGATTGCTTATGTTAGCTTTGTAATTTTGTCTATTAGTGGTGGAATTAGTTGGTGTAAGGAATGGTTTATCTCGGGTCGTGGGATAAATTCATTCCACTGTGGTGAAAAATGCATCGGCGTTTTGATTGGGTAGCGTATGATCCTTCTAAGTGTTCCTAGATGATACTAGATCTCGTTAATGTATGTGGGGTTAAAATCTTTTGAGGTTTAAATCTTGTATTCACTCATTTGGTTAATGAAAGTTGTAGTTGAGCCCAAAAAAAAAAAGAAAAGTTAAAAATCCTAATCCCCTAGACCTAAAAAAAGGAAACCCACGGGAAGATATCAAACTCTTTATAGCTAGTTGTGCCCTTTAAATTCGTTCGCTTCCAACTCAGCCTGCCGTCTCACACAATACAAAACCTAAACGCTTCTCCTTCTTCCCCCAATTCCTAATTCGCACTTTCTTTCAGTATTCCCGATGACGAAGAAACACAACCCTTTAGAAAACCCACCAGCCGCATCTTCAAGCGACGACGATGAAGAAGTCGAATCTTCCGCCGGAGAAGAAGAAGAAGATGATGACAACGCTTCTTCATCCGAAGAAGAAGACCAGCCCAAACCTCCTTCCTCCTCCTCCGCTGTTACCATCGCCATTCCTGGCAAACAAGCCTCCGATTCAGATTCCGGATCCGAAACAGAGACCGATTCCGAATCTGACACCGAACAACCTCCAAAACCTGTCCTCCCCGCAAAGTCCCTGCCGCCTCCCAAATCAGGAACGAAACGGCCGAGTGAAGGGACTTCAAAGGAGACGAACACAAAACGAGCTAAGAAGGACAACGAAGAGAAGAAGATTGGAGAAGATTCAAAGAAACCTGCTTTTCAGAGACTATGGACTGAAGACGACGAGATAGCTGTGTTACAAGGCATGATCGATTTCAAGAAGGATACAGGGAACTCTCCTTACGACGACACCAATGCTTACTACGATTACATCAAGAAATCCATCAGCTTTGAGGTTAGCAAGAACCAGTTCATGGATAAGCTCAGGAGTTTAAAGAAGAAGTATATGGGTAAAGAGAAGCCTTCTTTCACCAAGCTTCATGATCAGAAGTCTTATAGATTGTGCAAGTATATCTGGGGACCTGATGGGATGGGTCTTGAGACTGCTGTTAAGTCGAATGGTGTGTCGAAAAAGAAGACCAAGAAGGAGGTTGATTCTGTGAAGCGAGATCTGTCTTTTGCTTCTCCCAATGGTAAAGCTGTTGTTGTTGTTGATGATAGGAGAGTGTTGGTTCATGGAGAGGGGGAATGTGATTGGTTTGAGAAGTCGTTTCTTGTTCGAGGGATTGCGGGTTTCGGTGTTGACGAGGAGTATGTGAAACAGAGATGGAGGTTGGTCCCTGTTGAGACCAAGAAGAAAGTTGAGGAGAAGGTTAAGATGTTGCAGGCTAAGGAGATTGAGTTTGTGTTGCAGAAGACTGAGATTCTGCGTGAGGTGACCTCTATGATTGCTGAAGCATCTAAGAGTTAGAATATTAATAGTTTTGATCAGGTTTCTATGCCTCACTTTTGATTTTTGTACTTTGGATTTTACATTTTCTTCTTTATATTCTACTTACTTTGTAATTTTTCTGGTTTGTTTTGATGGCTTTCTCTTATATGAAACTCTCTTTATTGGATTTGTTGCTTATCTATACAAACACCATAAAAATAAATTCCTGTCAAGTGTCAAGCCTAAGGCAATTAGGAGAACTATGAACAAGATCCTAGCTATGTTGTTTGGTTCTTTCAGTTTTTGGATATTTTAAACGTAAGAAACTGTTCGGTACTTATGAAATATTGTTTTGGTTTGGTTAGCAGTTTGGTTCGAATAATATGAACACGATTCTAGCAATTTATGTTTAATAAAATGGGTTTGTTCTGTAAAATTTGAAGTAAAAGGATCAAGATTTGGTTTAGAAGATGAATCTTTTGTTACAAAAATCTTGTGATAACTTAGTAAATGATAATACATCTGCAAGTCAAAAAAAAGTTCTGAGTCTTCTTCTGATTCTTAGGTGAGAGTTTAGGAAGAGGAAGTTAGTTGCGTCAGGTGCTTACCTTCTAAAATGCCTTTTGATCAATGGTTGTACCAACTGAGCAGAGACTATAAGCTTTGCAACTTTTTCTTTTTACTTCCCTATATAGATGTCTCAAGACGTTAACCTCTTAACAAACAAATATAAATTTCTGTGCGTTAAGAATTTATATCAGACCCAAAGTTAAGCAAAAGAACAAAGAATTTATATCAGATGACAAGCACTGATCAGACCGCTGTAACCACCACCGGAACTAAGAAGGCTTGTGTCATCGGTGGCACAGGAAACTTAGCCTCTATTCTCATCAAGCATTTGCTGGAAAGTGGCTACAAAGTTAACACCACAGTTAGAGATCCAGGTTCTTCGTTTCTTTTTCTTCTTTTTGTTTGTTTCTTGTGCGTAAGGCGTTTTCAATGTTTTGTGATATTCTCCCCTGAAATTGCAGAAAATGAGAAGAAAATATCTCACCTTAAGAAACTTCAAGAGCTCGGAGACCTCAAGATCTTCAAGGCGGATTTAACAGATGAAGGGAGTTTCACTTCACCAGTCTCGGGCTGTGAATATGTTTTCCATGTCGCAACGCCAATCAGCTTTACATCTCAAGATCCCGAGGTCTTTAGTCCTAAACATATTTGTGTTTGCTTTTTTTCTTTTGTTTTACTCTAAAAAGAAACATTTCCAGCTATCTTGTTTGTGTTTTCAATGTACAGAAAGACATGATCAATCCAGCTATACAAGGAGTGATCAATGTGTTGAGATCTTGCTTAAACTCAAACTCAATCAAGCGCGTGATCTACACTTCTTCAGCTGCTGCGGTTTCTATCAACAATCTTCCGGGACCTGGACTTGTGATGAATGAAGACAACTGGTCTGATATTGATTTTCTCAAAAAGGAGAAGCCGTTTAACTGGGTAAATTACAATTACTTGTTACACAAGATAGGTTTTTTCCTTACCAAGTTAGCTTACTACCTCTCTCTGTTCCTTTCTAGGGTTACCCAATCTCAAAGATGTTAGCAGAAAAGGCAGCTTATGAATTTGCAGAAGAGCATAAGATTGATCTCGTTACCGTGGTTCCAGCACTCATAGCTGGAAACTCTCTCCTCTCCGAACCTCCTAGCAGTTTATCTCTCTCCATGTCTTTAATCACTGGTAAAATATGAATTTTTACTATTTGACCTCTTCTGTTAAAGTTTCAGAGACAAGAACTCAAGATGATTGGTTTTGCTGTTAGGAAACGAAATGCATCTGATAGGTCTTAAGGAAATGCAGAAGCTATCTGGCTCCATCTCGTTCATTCACGTGAACGACCTAGCTCGTGCCCATATGTTTCTTGCCGAGAAGGAAACAGCTTCTGGTCGCTACATTTGCTGTTATTACAACACAAATGTTCCAGAGATTTCAGATTTTCTCAAACGAAGATATCCCAAGTACAATGTTCTGGCAGAGTAAGCATATATCTCAAGGGAAATTGCAAATTTTTATTGAAAAAGTTTCTGATTGTTTTTTTGTTGCGTTGTGAAAATTTGGTAGATTTGAAGAGTGCTTATCAAGTGCGAAACTGACGCTATCCTCGGGAAAACTTATCAAGGAAGGCTTTCGATTTGAATATGGGATGAGTGAGATGTATGATGAGATGGTGAAGTACTTCGAGTCAAAAGGATTGATCAAACCTAAAGAATCTTGATTTTCCTATGATGTAAAATGGACTTTATCAGTACATGAGCCTCTGATAATCTCAACATGTTTTCTATAAATTGCTCTTAATAATATGTTTGTGATTTATGTCCTTTTACATAAATGTACTTGGAGGCTTTACTAGAATCAGGTTATGGTAGGGATGATTAAGGACGGTTGACAAATCTAGTTTCCTATGAACGAAATATCATCAATTGGTCTTCTCCTTGACCAAAAAAAGGCATGACTATTCACTCACATTTTTCACCAGAAAAACTTCTTTAACTTGTAATTAAATTTACAATGTAATTACTTATAAAATTCCTGTGTTTTGGAGCTTAAAGTGTTTCTCTTTCCATGCAACGTCCTGTTTATTATGACTTTTGTGACATTTTCTTAAGAATCTACAGGAATGATATTAGTTGCTTCCTACTCTAGACTATTGATTAGGATTATAGACTTAATTCTTAGAAATGTACATTATGGTTAAAGGCATTCTCTGTAGACTAGACTAGATTACCAAACGCAGAACGATCACCAACAGAGGACAAATGTACAAGTTCGGGCTTTACTTGTGGCTCAAAAGTAGTCTAAAAATAGATCCAAGTTGTTAAACCAGAACAAAAAAAAACATAGAAAACATTCAAGCATCATCCATCATTCATTCATAGGTAAGTAAGACGTCACTATTGCTCATCTGCTATTCGTTTTCTAATTGGCATCAGATTTCTCCAAAGCTGCACGGACAAAGAATAAGTAAATTAACTAGGAAAATAATCAAAGAAAGACAAATGCGAAGTAAGTATAATTGAGGAGATATTACTGTTATAGTTAAGAAGCTTTTCGATAAGATCGACATGAGTCATAAGCATACGCCTGCAGCAGTAACGATGTAACCCAATCGCATCAAGAGCATCCCTGCATATTCCAGAACCAAAAACCAATTTGCGACTAATCAAGCGATAATTTGAGAACATAAACCATGCTGTAGCTTAACAGCATAGGGACTAAAGATTCAAGTTCTAGAGATGTAAACAACAGAATCATGTAGCTTGAGGATAAAGATTTCACTAGAGTACTATATAAACAAGAGAATCAAAAATCTTTGAGTAACCTGATTTAAAGTAACTTCAAAATGATCAAGTCGAGAAACAGATCAATCATGTACCTTACAGGGAAAATTAGATATATAATACGGATATACCCATATACTGGGACAATACTAGAGATGTAAAAATGCGAATGAAAAATCTCTGCTCATACAATATGCAAACTAATAAACAAAGAAAGATCACAAACAAACAAAAAGTGATACAAAAGCCATCATATTCGTCTATTGTTTATCCTTTTAGAGGGTAACTAAATGACTTTCTCTAGAGTTTTCACAAAGAGTATCATGAAGGAATCAAAAAGGGGTTAGTTACCCTTCGGTGTAATCAGCCTGGAGAAGATCAAGGTATGTGTCCCATTTGTTCCCAATGATCTACGAATCATGAAGCTCAAAACTTTAGAGATAAATGTAACTCTATAGACTATCAATTTCGTCAAAAAGAAAACACATATAAACCGATGCTTCGGAAATTAAGAAAAGGAGAAACCTTTCCGCAAGTAAAGCAACGAACTGGGATTATCATCGTGCACGAACTGCGATTTAGACAGTGTTTTCGTCTCTCTTGCGACTTTTTGGTTTTAGGGTTTTCTCTCTTCCGCGCTTGCTAAAAGGTTCAAGCTGTGGTTCTTTATATGTGGATGTATCCAGATTAAACGCACCGTATTAGGTTAAACGGCACCGTATTTATACGAAATCTATTTTTTTTTTTTTTTTTTGTCAAACCTATAATTATTTATTGGGAAATTGGAGAAGAATTCCTAAGGAGAAAAAGATTTAATAACTTAAGTCTGTAAATTAAAAAGAGAGAGAGAGAGAGTTGTCTTGTTGAATCTCGAGCGATCTGCTTCACGATTACTTTCTAGTCTTTGAGTAAAATCAAAGGGGAAGATGTTGGAGAAGATCGGGTTACCAGCGAAGCCATCTCTGAGAGGAAGCAGCTGGGTCGTCGATGCTTCTCATTGCCAAGGATGCTCTTCTCAGTTTACTTTCATCAATCGCAAGGTTTCTCTTTGTTCCTCGACTTGATTGTTAGAGACATACTCTTTCGATCTAAGTTTTAAATAAAAGTTTTGATCTTTATTTATCTGAAAACTTAACTGAATGATCTGTCTATTGATTTGGTGTATAAGATGTATGTTTGACTCGTGACTTGTTGGATTCACTGTTTCCAGCATCATTGCCGGAGATGTGGGGGCTTGTTCTGTGGTAGCTGCACTCAGCAAAGAATGTCCCTACGTGGACAAGGTGACACACCTGTTCGTATATGTGATCCATGTAAGAAACTTGAAGAAGCTGCCCGCTTTGAGTTGCGTCATGGCTACAAAAACAGAGCTGCTAAAGGTAAAAACAATGCTCAGTGATGAAACTTGCGTTGCATTAGTTTTGGTTTTAAAAATAGGATGTGATTTTTATCAGCAGGTGGCTCTAAAAGGACCTTAAAGAATGAGGATGATGTTCTCAGTGAGATTCTTGGATCTGATGCTGATGTATCTTCTTCATCCGAATCAGTTTCTAGCACAGACAGGGTTACATCTAAGGAAATGGGAAGCAGCAGTAGCAACAAAGATATGGAGTTGGATGCTGTGTCAGCTACCCCTGAGGAGTTGCGTAAACAAGCAGTTGAAGAGAAGAATAAGCACAAAGCTCTTAAGAAAGAAGGGAAGTCTGAGGAAGCTCTGAAAGCCTTTAAGAGAGGGAAGGAACTTGAGAGAGCTGCAGACGCACTAGAGATTTCCTTGAGGAAGGAGAGGAAAAGGGCACTGTCCATGCGAGATGTTACTGAGACGCAGAACAAGGCTGCTACTAAAGAATCTAGCAAATCACAAAAGCCTGCACGTAAAGATGATTTGGCAGCTGAGCTGAGGGATCTCGGGTGGTCTGATGATGAAGATAAGAAGCCAGCTACTGTAAGTGTTGAGGGTGAGTTTTCGTCTCTACTCCGTGAACTCCCTGGAAGGAGTAACCCACAGAAGAGTGGGGGAATCGACAAGAGTCAGGTTATTGCCATTAAGAAAAGGGCACTTGCACTTAAACGTGAAGGTAAGCTTGCAGAAGCTAAAGAGGAGCTGAAAAGAGCTAAAGTTTTGGAGAGGGAGATTGAAGAGCAGGAACTTTTGGGTGGAGCTGATGAATCAGATGATGAGCTCTCTGCGCTTATTAACAGTATGGATGATGACAAAGAAGATGATCTGTTAGCTCAATATAAGGGAAACCATGATTTTGACTTTGGTAACCTTGTGGGAACTGTAGACGATATTGGACTTGTTGGTGAATTTGATGTCACAGATGAAGATTTGGAGGATCCAGCAATTGCTGCTGCGTTGAAATCTTTGGGTTGGACCGAGGATCCTGGTCATCTTGACAATGTCCATTCTAAATCTTCGCCTAACCATAGAGAAGAACGTTTAGCTGAAATCCAGGCATTGAAAAGAGAGGCTCTTACTCTAAAACGAGCTGGAAACGCTGCAGAAGCCTTGGCTACACTGAAGAAGGCAAAATTACTTGAGAAGGAACTAGAGCCTGCTGATAAGTCCTCTGAAACTATAGATACGACTAGGGAAGAGAAGGACATGACCCTGAAACATCCTCCCCGGAGCAGGCTTGCTATCCAGAGAGAGCTTCTTGCAGTGAAAAAGAAAGCGCTTGCTTTGAGAAGGGATGGAAAGGTTAACGAAGCTGAAGAAGAATTGAAGAAAGGAGCGGTTCTCCAAGAGCAGCTTGAAGAGCTGGACAATTCGTCAAAGCTAGCTGCGGCAGGAAAAGCTACTCGTGAGAAAAGAGATCCTGGTAATGATATGCCTGATATTTCTATTAATTCTATGGATGATGATGGAGAGGTAGATGTAAAAGATGAAGAATTAAATGATCCGAGTTACCTCTCAATGCTTAATAGCTTAGGCTGGAATGATGAAGATAATAATCCTTTGGAAGATTCATCAGGAAGAGTTGAACCTGTTAGTTCTCGACCAGTGAAAATAACAAAACCAAGAAGAAGTAAAGGTGAAATACAACGAGAACTCTTAGGGCTGAAAAGAAAAGCTTTAACTTTGCGGCGACAAGGTAATGTTGATGAAGCAGAGGAAGTTCAAAACCAGACAAAAATATTGGAAGCCGAGATGATGGAGATTGATTCAGGCAAGAATCTTAATGCTGACGGTAATCAGCCAAAGAAAACATCCACTGATAGTGAGATGAATGTAGAAGATGATAGCGTTACAGAAAATGATATGAAGGACCAAGCACTATTGTCAACTCTTAAGAATATGGGATGGGAGGGTGAAGAACCGAAGAAACAAGAAGCTGCTGCCTCTAGCTCTATGAAGTCTAGTGGTCCACGGGTGGCAGCCAAAACAAAGGGACAAATCCAAAGAGAACTTTTAGACTTGAAAAGGAAAGCACTTGTTTTCAAGCGTCAAGGGAACACTGGAGAGGCTGAGGAATTATACAGTAAGGCCAAAGTGTTGGAAGCACAGCTAACAGAATTGGAGACCCCCAAGGATGAGCCAATGGATGAAGCTTTTAGAGATCAGCAGTCTGAGACGAAAGTCTCAGCTTCTACCGTCAATCCTACAAACTACATGGATGTTGATTTATTAGTTGGATCTCAAATGGAGGACAAGTTAGTCAAATCTGCTAGTGCTTCTCATACTGCACAAGGTAGTTATGACTTATTAGGAGACTTTATCTCTCCTGCTAAATCTGATTCCTTAAGCACGCATGAGATGACTGAAAGTAGACTTGTTTCTCAATCGGGCCAGCAACAAACAAGTATGATGGATTTGCTGACTGGTGAGCACTGTGAGAGGTCTCAAATTCCAGTAGAAAAAGGAAAAGCTGAGACCAAGTCAGAGTTTGGTGTAGGAAACAAACAGAACAAGTCAGAGTCAGCACATGGTAGTATTCAACCAGCTTCTGTTCAAAATACATCTCCTCAGAACACACTTAAGCAAGAAATTCTTACTCATAAGAGAAAGGCACTTGCTTTAAAGAAAGAAGGAAAGATAAGTGAAGCTAAAGAGGCATTGCTACAAGCAAAATTGTTGGAGAGGAGACTACAAGAATCAGGAAAAGACCCTTCTCCTGAAAAACTCGGACGAGATGATTTGGTTTCTGCAACGCTTCCTCCTCCTACACGAGAGAAAGAGATTAGTCCTTCAAGTTCAGCCCAAAAGCCAATGTCTAGCCGTGATCGTTTTAAGCTGCAGCAAGAGTCGCTAAGCCACAAACGTCAAGCCATGAAGCTTCGTAGGGAAGGTAAGATGCAAGAAGCTGAAGCTGAGTTTGAAATTGCCAAAACTCTTGAAGCTCAGTTAGAAGATTCATCATCCTCGAAATCAGAACAAGTGGACGATGTAGCAGTGGAAGATTTTCTCGATCCTCAACTCTTGTCTGCCCTCAAGGCTATCGGACTAGACAGTTCTGTGAATCTGCCGGTGAGTAAGGCGGACACGGCACAAGCTGTTCCAAAACCAGTGCGTGAATCTGTGAAAGCGAGTCCAGCCAAGGAGAGTGATAATAACCAAGAGAGAAGTCAGCTGGAAGAACGCATCAAAGCAGAGAAGATAAAAGCGGTAACACTGAAACGTTCAGGGAAACAAGCTGAGGCATTAGATGCTCTTCGAAGAGCAAAACTCTATGAAAAGAAACTAAATGCTCTTGCGTAGAATTGACTCAACTCTCCATTTAGTTGGATATTTGTAACAACCTAAATTTTGCTCTAGTGTTTATCAGGTTGGTAAACTGGTGAGAGCATAATAAATCATGAAAAAAACACAAGACTAGATTATTTGTGAGAGTGGATGATGTTTTATTATTAAAATAAATTTAAGTATATGGTAAACTATAAGATTTGGTTTATTAGAGATCCATCGTTTTTTTTTTTTGAAACACAGATCCATCATTTAAAATGTAAATGAAAAAAACATAAATTGGAAGAAAAATGTTCTATTGTTAGTTAGACATTTTCTTTTGTACAAAAAGGTTATTTATTTTCTTAACTATCCATCACAAAACCTATGCGTGAAGCTGCTTTAACTCTTTAAATAAGCAGTCTGTTATGCAAGAACTTTGATGGAACGTTTGTCCTTATAGTAAACAAATAAGACTACAAGAACTTTGATCGGAGTAAATAAGTCCTCAAGGGTCATAAAACAACTTACTCAGGCACAAAAGTTCAAAGATTTACACAAAGGTTACAAACTAGGATGCATGACTTACACTACAAACTACTCAGCAAGGTATACATTCATTAGATGTTTGTAACCTGAAGTTTACTCGCGTTTGTCCTCCTCAACCTCGTCGGCAAGCCCGTATAGAAGTTCATTCCTTTCAATATCACCTGTAACCTTAATTCCACCACTCGTCAATGATATACCTTCCTCTTCAACCTCATCCCCTGTTTCTGCTAAGTATGAGTACCTGCAAGGTGCAATATACATCTCTCGGTGAATCCCAAATAAGAGTCTTCAAAACTTTGGAAGTTGACCATTGAAGTTAAAAACAACTGAGATAAACGTTAAAGGGAAAGTGGTAGAACCTGGTTGGATTGTTAGATGGAGCCCAAAGGATGCATATGACTGCTAATAGGCCATAAGAAAGTAGATTCCAAAACGCTGGAATGATCCAGGCCATTCGCCAGAATTCACTTAAAGGGTCACTTGCGTTGAAGTAAAGCTGATACAAAGACAAATAAGAATGTAATTTTCAGTTACACTCCTTTGAATTGAGAGGATTTCAAGTAATACGCAAGGGTCCTTACCTCAAAGCCAATCCAAGCAATCGAGAGCAGAACAGAGATAGCAAGCGCGTTAGTAAAATTTCTATAAAGCTCAAGCTTAGCCATGTTTCTCTTAATCTGCAGTGGACATTAGAGACATAAGTAGCCACAGATTGAAATTCTAATTGGCACTTTGTATTTTTCTTACCTGAAGTTTCTCTAGTGTTCTTGCCAATGATGAGAAAATCCACAGAATAAAGCAAGCGTCCAGTAAAGCCACGGGAATCACCAAATATATCACTGTTTTCCCAGAGAAGTCATTAATGTTTCCCAAATGCTCAACCAACTCAAGAGCCTCTGTTGCAACAAAATATATGACTCCAAGAAGAAGTACCCTCGAGGTAATGCCACCAAGGGTAGGCTTCACTACCCCAAACCCCATAGAGACGACCAAAAGAAGAAGCCTTGAAAGCGTCTTTTTAACAGAAGAAAAGGTCACCGCCCACAGAGTAATATCCATTGGTCTCATCCCAGTGGAGTCGAAATTAGCATACTCAAAGTACCTAACAGCCATTTCACACATACCAAGCGCAATAACCAAAGTGATATGATAGTGCAGCTGAATGATATCCTTCCAAAACTTAACAAACCTAAGAAACCAAACAAGACCAAGCAAGAGATAAGCTAAGGACATGAACCCAAAGAACTTCATCAACGGAGCCACCTTTCCTGGTAAATAACCATCAGGATTCTTCCAAACCGTTCTTCCTCTGATTACAGTACCATCCAAGCCCGGGTCACATATCACGAAATAAAGATAGTACATCCCTGTCTTGTTTATAACCACAGTTTCTGGAGACATGGTAACTTCTGTCTTGTTCCCTCTAAAGAAAGTCTTGATCTGTCTTGGCCACACATCATCACTAGAATCTCTCTTGATAATAACTTCACCAAGAGTGCAAGAACCAGTATCAGCAAGATCAGGAGTACAGCAAATAGCATTGCTTTTGAGAAAAGATCCACCAATTCGAACACGGTCTTTCACCTCAAGTAGTATTGCTTCAACCAAACCTGCAGTAGACTGCATTGGATTCTGTTTGCTAGCGGATTCAATAGTCCTCACAAAGGTTACATCATCAAACCTAAGTAAAGGCTACATAATGTTAGCTATATATATATATATATCAATGTTCTAAAAATCGACGCCCGACTAGTAGGCAATAAGCAATAATCCTCTACTTGAAACCCAGTGGACAAGGAGAGAGACTGACCTTATAAAGGACTTTCCTTTAAGAGAAAGATCAGAAGTGTTTAGGTCTTGAAACTTGGAAGCGTAGAGACCTTCGCTGCCGCCATGGAAGAATCGAGCGTTGGCTTGTGCGATGAATTTTTCGTTCTTGTAGTCGTGGATCGAGGCCTCGGAAGATCCGATCAAGCTCACGAGGAGCAGGATCCCAAATGCCCAGAACCCTATCGAACGATTTTCCATGGAAATTTGTTGGAAGACGATGATCGGAGATTCTCGATCGAACAAGCGGAGAATGAATTGGGTGGGGAGCTGGAATAGCGGGACAGGGTGACACGATTACTAAAGTCTAAAACAGTAAATAGTAAGGAAAATTCCATTAAAATTCACCAAAACTATTTATCTATTTCCACTTTAATACATCAACTTTTAATGTTACCACGAATCCTCTATATACTAAAGCACAAGTCGGCTGGCCAATCAAAAGCCGACATGTGGAAAATATAAAATAATTAAAAAAGCAAATATAATTGATTTTAAAAAGTTTCTACAATTCCTAAATTTCAGCACATATATCCTAATTTTTCTAAGGCCACGTTCAAAATCATATGATCACGATTTTTCAAACTGATTTGATCTACTATTTTACTTTTTATTTTTCTTGGTTAAATATTCTCTACTACCAAAACAAAAGATTTTATCTTTTAAGTTTCAGTTTTGACATCGACAGATTTCTTCCTGTCTTTTTTCTTTTTCTCTGTACCAATTCAAAATTTTATTTATTCATTGTCTAAACTCTGAAGTAATATCAAACGAAAAAATTTTTAATCAGTACAGTGGAATTATGGGAAGAGATATGCTGGTATGGTATTTTTGAAGAGATTCAATTTCAGATCACAGAAGTATCTAACTTTAAACTTCCTATATCAATTGATTTATAGACACAGTAGGTCACACGGTTTGGAGAGATGGGATGGAGCTCAACCAAAATTGAAGGTTTTGCCTGTTTTTCAGCATTCACAGCAATTGAGTTTAACCCTAAAACAATTGTTGGATGTATCACGGAGTTGTATCTCTGAATCAAAGGTAAGTTCACTTTACTTAATCATTAATTACTGTTAGACAATTCATTATAATTTAATGAAACGCACAGTAAAGATGTAAAATTTAATCTTATAAATTTAACAAACTATCAAAATAAGTAATGTGGGTTCATTTTAAATGTGTGCTTTTACAAAAAGATGTTTGGTAAATTAACATAAAATATTAAATGTAACAGTTGTTTTCAACAGTACAAATAATACTTAAATTTATATAAATTAAATTATGTACATGTTGTTATAAAATCATCACCAAAAATTAATGGATCAAATAAAGTATTTTTAACAATATTTTATATTTTGGTATTTAAAAAAGTTTTGCAAACATGTAATCCATTTCATAATGATATATGTTTTATCCCTTATTTGTTTCAATGCAGAAACCTCTACTAATTATGTGCCACTGTTCATATAATATTTTAAATAATTATTTATTAAAATTGTAAATTTTGACAATGGTCAAATAATTTTTAAAACAGTAAACTAAACCTGTGCGCAGCACAGGGGTAATACTAGTATATACTAACTATACAACCTATCATTGACTTTTGACTAATAGCACTATTCACACTGTTAGTAATGTGGTTAACATTCTAACTATAGTTAAAACTTTTAAATCTAAAAAGAATCTCGAATCTAAATTAATTTTAGGGCAATTCTCTCAAATAGCTCTCTTTTAAGTTTTTATCACAACAATAGACCTCAAAATTAAAATGGCCACAATATCACTTTTTATTTTGAAAATTTTAAGTTTTTTCATTTTTTTTAAATTCGAAACCATATCTCCAAAACCCCACTCCTCAACTCTAAACAAAAAAAATTTAGGATTAAAACAAAGAAGTACACAGGAAAAAATGAATGAAAAGCTATAACAAATGAATTCTCTTATTATTTACCTGGAAAAAAAATTGTAACCTATTATTGGAGGAATTGTCAAAAATGATCCAAAATTTGATATTAAATATAAACGTATACCCCAATTTCTTTATGACCAAACAATAAATTATTATGTGTTAATACAAATATAACCCCAAAAAGTTTTATGTGCTTTTGTAAGTCTTTTCTAAGAAGACTTCTCTATAAGTATTCTCTGAAAATCTTCTTGTATAGTAGATCATAAAAATAATTTATAAATTTTAAATAAAATATTTTTATAGGAGAAAATTTGAAATCGTGTAGTTATAAATATTTGTAAATGATATAAATAAGAGCTAGTATATTTGAAATGTTTTCAACATAGATGAGTGAATATAGATTGAGTCATGATATTCTTTAGCTTAGAGTTTGGTAACATATGTTATAGTATTGTTTATATTTTTAGGATTAGATTTTGGAATCTTAACTTTTTTTAAAAAAAAAAATTGGCTTATATGTGTTTCATTTTGGGTATATTAAACACTTTAAAAGTTGATTTAAGTTAAATGAAGTGTGTATTCTGTTTAATTAGTTAATTTATTTTAGGATATAAGTGACTTAAGTCTTCTAACAAATTCACTAAAAAACTTCTGGGAAAGTATTCTTGATGAATAGTAAATTTAGAGTTTAGAGTCTTCTATTAGAACTTCCATTAGAGTCTTCTATTAGAAAACTTCCGAACTGAATTGAACATATTTAACCTATTGAATTTTTTTTTCTCCTTATATAAATAATATTTACACATTACTCTCTCTCTATTTCTCTCAAATTACTGCAACAAAAATGTAATGTTTCTCACTATAAAACTCTCCAACCTCTCTCTAATCTTTTTAAACTTGAAAACACTAAATTTTATATCAATTTCTTAGTATTCTTATGTATTTCTCACTAATTTATCTTGTTTTAGCTGGTCTTTCATTAAATGGTTATTATCTTCACTGCTTTAAAGGTAGATCTATAAATTTTGAATATGTATTTTTGTGTATTTTATATGTTAGATTCTAAAAAGTTTTAGATTCGAGATTATTTATTTATGATTTAAGCATAAACATTATTTTGAGGTTTTTCTCTGTTTTGATGTCATTTGAATGTTTTTTTAAATGCATGTTTGGCTGGTCTTTCATTAAATAATTATTATTTTATCTGCTTTAAAGGTAGATTTATAAATTTTGAATATGTATTTTTGTGTGCTTTATATGTTAGATTCTAAAAAGTTTTAGATTCAACATAATGTAACTGTTTTATTTATGATTTAAGCATAAACATTACTTTGAAGTTTTTCTCTGTTTTGATGCCATTTGAAAGTTTTAGACTTCTAAGAAAGTCTTCTGAACCGAATATATTTCACTTAATTGGAATTTGTCTCCTTACATAAAGAAAAGTTACATTTTTTTTTGCTTCCTCTCAAATGGCTGCAACAAAAATGTAAAGTCTCCCACTCTAAACTCTCCAACCTCTCTATAATCTTTTTAAACTTGAAAACACCAAATTTTATATCAACTTCTCATTTTTTTCTTATATCTTTCTCACTAATTTATCTTCTTTTTGCGGGTATTTCATTACATGGTACTCATCTTTCACTTCTTTAAAGGTAGATCTATAACTTATGGATATGTATGTTGTGTGTGTTTATATGTTAGATTATAAAAAGTTATAGATTCAATATAATGTGACTATTTTATTTTATTATTTAAGCATAAAAATTAGTTTTGAAGTTTTTTTTTTTGAAGCCATTTGTATGTTTTTGCTTGCCCAAGTGGTACAAATGGATGATGTCAAGTAGAGTCAAGACTTATCTATGTCATGGAATGATTAGCTGCATGTGTAATAGTTTTGTTTATGGTATGTTTTGTGAATTGTATGTGTCTTTTAGTTGTGGATTTTTTTTTTTGTAAACTTGAAGAGATGTTAATAAAAAGAATTTGGTAAATATGTTCAGGTCTACAATATTATCTTCCAAAAAGTACTTCAAATTGTTAAAGCTATTGATACAACGTCCATAGCAAAACACAATAACACAAAATTTAGTCAAATTTACTAAAATTAAGAGAGAAGATTTCTCAAGAAACTTTATCAGATTCACAAAATATCAAACATTACATAAGTTCAAACATATAATACTTTCATTAGAAGTCTTTCTAAAAGTCTACTTAGAAAGACTTAAATTTTGAGCAGAAAATTTGATGCGGGAAATTAAACATAAACATGAACTGAAAATTTGAAATTTTAAATCTAAAAGAAATTGAAAGGTATATCTTATAAGCTATAAAGACACATTAAACCACATGACTTGATATTCTTGAAGTCACTTAACATTTTTGAAAGTTAAAAAACATATCATAAAGTTACTTTCCACTTTTATAAATACAAGTTTTACAAAAACTAACGTAGAAGACTTCCCAATAAATATTCTCTCGTTAGCTAAAAAATTAATAAACATGAATGTTGGTAACCTCGTTATTATCACCAATTAATTTATGAATTTTATTCAAGAGCCCCAATATAGACTAATATACATGAATTAACAAGAAATATAAAAAAAAACCTTTTTAATTTTAAATAAAATGAAAGTTTATTCAACATTGATTTATAAGACTTTCCACGAAATTCTTCTCTGAGAAGACTCTTACGGAAGTCTTCTTGAAGTAGAATTCATGGAAGTCTTCCATTACGGTCATTTTTGCAATTGAAAACTTACAAAGGAATAATTCTTGAGAAGTGTACTCTATAACAAACTTCTTTGGAATTTTTTCTTTGTAAATATTGGCTTACTTTTGTATTTCAAAATTCTCAAAAATACCAGCTTGCATAAACGTTAGTTTTGCAATTGACTGAACTACGTCAGAAATTTGACTTTTCTGTGGAAAGACTTTTGGTAGTCTTCTTAACTGTTTAAGAAAGATGTAGTGATGAAGGTATCTTTTGTGATTTTTGTAACAACATTTGAAACAATTTCAATTCTTGTTTAAAAAGAGTACCGGTTAAAATCCTATACATTAGCAATATTTGGTACATTATCCTTTCATGTTAGGGAGTCATTTGGTATAGCAATGAAGATGAACGAAAAAGAAGATGGAGTAGTGGTTTTCAAAACTATGTTTGGTAGTAGTGGAAATGTTTCTTACCTTTATAAACTCAATGTTTGATGTAGAGTCAAAGATAACACCAATAAGACATGTATAAGAAGCTAAAGCTACACAAGCAGCCGAAGTCTCATATATAGTCTTTTGGCCATTTACCAAAAGGAGCAAAAGTATATTTTTCTTTGTTACCAAGTTGACCACACCTTACACACTTGGTAGAGATAGCCATGAATACTCAAGAACTATCATGGAAATG